CAGCAGGAAGGATCATATGGAAAATAAGAGGGATTCTTTAATCCCCCATTTCTTTTTCTGAATTTTTTTTTTTCTGTTTTCAGCGGTTCCCTTTTTTTAGTCCCAGTAGTTCCCCAAACAGATCTTAAGGTATCAGCAGAGATCTGACATTACTTATGTCTTCCTTAATGAGCCCATTGATTTTGTAATCCAGCAAACAGTATCTTTTCTACTTCCTGATACTGTAATGCATTGAAGAGTTTATCTGTGCAGTAGCACACCTAAAAATGTAAGAAGAAACTGCAGTGTTCGAAATAACTGTTCAAGCAGTAGGCCTGTTTTCCCTATGAACCTGTTACTTCTCTGGGTCTCCCTGTACTCACCCCTAAATTCTAGACCCTGGCATGATAATTATCTATGGCTTTTTAAAATCCTGCTGACTTTCTCCCATCACCAGCCTGGGTCTAGATGCAGGCACTGTGCTGGCCAAAGTCTTGCAATTCACCTTCTGCAATTCAGATTCACTGCTTACCGTTAGGAAGGCCTACTACTTTTAAATTGATGTAGCATCTTTGAGCCCCAAGAATTATATATACACTGTAGTATATGTGATGGTAGAAACACAGCTGTAGAGAATGCTAACAAAAAAAAAAAAGAAAAAAGCTAAAGAACTTCAGCAGAAAATGGGTAAACTCTGGCTTAAAACTGAGCATATCCTGGGTACTATGTTGAGAGGGTTGCTTCTGACTCTCTGGAGTCACTGAAGCTACTTAGAAATGAAGCATGAAGTGAAAAATTCCTGCAGAGATTTTCAGACACCTCTGCCTTGTCACCCTGTGCTCTGTGCTCTGTGCTCCTGTTCAGTACGTGAGGCAGCCTCTAAACACCACAAAACTCAGGGGCTTCTGTCAAAATGGGGGACAAGATGGTTTGCTAGCTGTAACTTCCATCACTAATTCATACTCGGTGAATCCTAGGATTTTTATTCAGTATTCATTCTGTGCCATATACTGCAGTCTCCGGGGGAATTGAGAGCGTCTGCCTGGTGTAAAAACTGGGGAAAAGCAGGATGAGGCTCTGCCTGCTGGTTTGTAATTACTGCTGCTGCTGTTTCACCCGATGGCTCCAGCTGCGGTGGTGCCCCAGTGGCTCCAGCACTCTGTAGGGAGGGAGGCTGGGACAGGACTGTGGCACCTGTGGGTCACTGGAGAAGGCACCCTCGGCTGAAATGAAGCAAAGCAGTGGCTTCCTGAGGATCACACCACAAGTCAGTGGTGGAGCCAAGGCTGGGAGCTGGACCTGCAGTCTGTGACAGTAACCCTCAGTAAGCAGCCCAAAAAAGGTGTCGGGTATGTCTGGAGAACGAGCGGGTAGCCCTCACCTCAAAGTCCTTAATTTCTATAAAAAAGTGTATACCTATAAATGCTACATGTTTTTTAAATTACTTTTTCTGAATAATTTTGTTATATAGTGTTTCTTGTCTGTTTTTCTTCATTCATATTCATTCTAAAGATGAAAAAAATCCACCTTCGAAAACATTTCTTCCACAGACCCTTTTCAATATCCCCTTCAGCGGGAATAAACCTGCTGGTGTGGCTGTGCCATGCAGCTCGGCATGGGATCTCTTACACCATGTCAGATGCCCCTCGGGCTCAGCGAGGTCTGGGGGGGATGCGGTAGAAACAGCTCTCCCAGCACAGCTGCTCGGCTGCCCCTTGTCTGCAGGTCACCAGGAGCTCCCAGCTGACTGTGGAGACTCTCTGTGCTTTTAAATTACAGCTCCTCATTTGTCCTCACTTTGCAAGGTGTCTGTCAGTCTTTCTTCCCCTTTGCCAGGAAGATAGAATTATGACATTTTTCACTGTCAGGTGCAGACTTCCATTTCAGACCTACAGAGATGAAGGGAAGCCACAAAGAAATCCCTAACGTAATTCAGAGGACTGAGATTTAAACCTCGGAGAAAAACTGTAAGTAGCAGGTATTGCTTACATATGCTTTGCGCAAGCTTCCTAGAATGTAAAACCAGAAAGAATAAAAAGGGACCACATAGAAGAAAATGTCTCTGGCTCCATTTCATCCAGCTCCACACCATCCTTTTCCAGAAACCACCCTCGCTCACCTTGGAAGGCCGTTCACACAGCTGATCCTGTATCCCTTTATAGTTTTGCAAAAATGACACTGTGCCATTCGCTTCCAGGAGAAATCCCAGCCAAAAGCAGGGGGAACCAAAAGGGCAAGGGAACACCACTGAACTCTCTGTGTGAAGTTCCCGTTGCACGTGAGGACATGGGCACAACAGATGTGGCAGAGAACATTTTCTCCCAACCTCCTTGATTATACAGCACTCGGGATCCCTTTATAGTTTTGCAAAAATTACACTGTGCCATTCGCTTCCAGGAGAAATCCCAGCCAAAAGCAGGGGGAACCAAAAGGGCAAGGGAACACCACTGAACTCTCTGTGTGAAGTTCCCGTTGCACGTGAGGACATGGGCACAACAGATGTGGCAGAGAACATTTTCTCCCAACCTCCTTGATTATACAGCACTCGGGTGTCCAAACATCCCTAGATGTAAGAGCTATTTTGCATGAATGCAACCACCTTTCAGCATTACTCTTCTTCAGTTAGAAGCTGGTGAACGTTTTGTCTAAAGCTTTTCCTGTTGAGCCCTGCAAGGGCAGGTTGACCAAAGCCTGTCATGAGTTCACAATGAATCCATAGATGTCTCCAGGTTAAAACAAAATAATAAAATAAAAAAGAAAAGAAAAAATGGGAATGTTTCCTTTGTCACTTTCAAAATTCAATGCTTTAATATTTCATTTAGAATGACTATCCATTTCCAGAGGTACTTCAAGGTTACTCAAATCGTATTTTAAAATGTGCAAAAAGGTTTGAAACCAAATGTGTAGAAAACAAATTCAATTTGTCAAAACATTTCTAAACTAGTAATTTCAGGTTGACCTCAAGTCACTTTCCTCTATTAGCACTTGGATTTTAAGTTGACTGAAAAAGAAGCTGAAAGTCCACCCTTTCTGCCACGGCTGCAGATATTCACGCAAAAAGAAAGAGGGCACAATAACTTGTCTGTTCCATACAGCTGTGAAGCATTAAGTCATCTGTCCTCTGCCTTTTGTACCTCTGTATCTTCTTCCTTTGGACTCCATGCTTCTAAGAAGAATTGGTGAAATATAAAGGACTGGTGAAATGTAGCAAAGCACCAGTATGAAAGTGCAAAAATTGGTAAGTTCAGCCATGTGGCCAAGTCTTACTTATTAGCTGTTTTGCCCACTTTTTCCCAAGATACATGACCAGGTTTTGTTCTTTCAAATTTCCAAAGGATGCCCGGCTCTGTGCATTTGCATTTGCACAAAAGCATTTGGTATTTTCTCTTTTTTACCAAGTTTCCTTCAAATGTCTAAAGAGCAGAAATATTACCAAGTGATGGGGGAACTCATGACATGGCACAATTGATGGAGGCACAGTCAAGGCTAGCAGCTTACGCCTCTGGGTCGAGGTTCTGCTCTGACCTCCTGTCTCCATGGCTTCTGGGTGCTGGGCACGTTTATGAAGTGCACTCTGTAAAATGTAACTCACTCCTTCTCCTCCAGCCAAAATCTTGGCTTCTGTCTCATCTGCCCTTTCCTCTGTCTCTTGCAGAAGGCAGGAGAGACCTGTAAGTTGAATGATGTGCTCATATTGCTCTTATTGAACGCTCGTAATTGTGAATGCAAATGGCACTTTTTATACATGAACAGAAAAAGGACTAAATTCACTGGATAAATTATTCACAACAGATAATTCAACCTGCTCTCATGGGAGAGTGCAATGAATGTCTGATGATGTTAAAAAAACCCCCACAACTAATTCTACCAACCAGTGAAGTCAATGGCAAAACCTTTTACTGACTTCAAAGGGAGCAGAACCTAGCCCCAAGCCAGAGTGCCCACATACGACTTCTCTTTAGTGGTTCTCAGTTGCATTTAGACCTAAAACCCAGGCAAGCGTTTCTGTTTTGAGGAGCCCAGACTAATGCTGTATAGCAGAGTCGGGCTGCCAGGGCACATGCATTATTACAGCTCTGGTTGAAAGCAGGTCTGCTCTGCAGCCATGGCGCAGAGCACTGCCCCCAAGCTGAAATAACCCAGCCTCAAGAGAGAGCCAAAGTAGATGTGCCATCTAGCAAGTTTGGAGCTCAGGGCAGGTTAGTTTGGCCAGGTTTGTCTAGTTTGGAGAAAAGGAGGCTGAGGGGCAACCTCATTGCTCTCTACAGCTTCCTGAGGGGGGGAAGTGGAGACGAAGGTGCTGATCTCTTCTCCATGGAGTGACAGGACACATGGGAATGGTTCACAGCTGTGCCAGGGGAGGCTTAGACTGGACATTAGGAAGCATTTCTTTACCGAGAGGGTGGTCAAACACTGGCACAGGCTTCCTAGAAAGGTGGTCGATGCCCCAAGCCTGACAGTGTTTAAGAGGCATTTGGACAATGCCCTTAATAACATGCTTTATTCTTTACCGAGAGGGTGGTCAAACACTGGCACAGGCTTCCTAGAAAGGTGGTCGATGCCCCAAGCCCTGACAGTGTTAAGAGGCATTTGGACAATGCCCTTAATAACATGCTTTAACTTTCGGTCAGCCCTGAAGGGGTCAGGCACTTGGACCAGATGATCCTTGTAGGTCCCTTCCAACTGAACTGCTCTATTCTATTCTATTCTATTCTATTCTATTCTATTCTAATTTACTTTGCATCTAGGATAGATTTGCAGCCAGTGAGGGGGTTTGTGGACAAAGTGCCACTGGCCATCCCAACGTGGCTGTGCTGCTGGCCAACATCCCTGTGGCAGCGCACCATGGGCATGATTTGGGGGCTGTGACCATGTGCAGTGGATGCGGGGTCTGGGAAAAGGCTTGTGTGGGGGCTGCTGCCGTGCTCCCTCTCCCTGGCAGGGGAGGCGAGCGGAATGAGGGCTGGGCTGTGCCCCAGCTCGTGCCACTGATCCCCTCCAGTTGCTGGTGGTGGGGACACATGGCCCTGGGCACTGGAGAGAAACAGGGACACGGGGATGGCGCGAGTCGTCCTGGCAAGGTGGCAGAGGGGGAAGTGAGGGACGCCTCTGACCCCGGGGATATGTACCTCCTGGGTTCGGTCTGGGTATCCCATGTTTCCACATGTCCATCCCTGCCGTGTGGTGCATTGTCACCTGCAGACTGTGTCGTCGTCCCCGGCCCCCCGCTTTCTCTCGGCGCTGCTGGTGCTTTGCTGCACTCCACAGCACATGGTTGTAGTCACGCAACGTCCGTGGTCTAAAGCGCTGTGTGACAGTGCCGGGAGGACACAGAAGTGATGCAAAACGCTCTCGTAAATAAAAGCTGAGCTCTGCCTGCCCGGGTGCCCGTGTGCGGAGCCGTGACACCCTCCCCGGGCACCTGGGCGCCCGGTTTTGG